TGGAGACACAGAGAATAGAGACAGAGCTCCATGTACACCGAGTTTATGTTCTAGTGGGGGCGGTTCAGATAACCACAAGCAAACACTGCACAAGGAAAGGGTTCTTCCTGCCCAAACTAGTCTAAAATGGTGTTCTGTGGTAGGGACTGTGTAGACTGTTTCCTTGGACAGGGTGTTCAGAAACGGGGTATGCAATGAACTAGGACCTGATGTGAGAATGAGGCTAACTGCAAAGATCCTGAGCAGGACCTATGGCTAGGGTGATCAGAGAATTCAAGGAACCCAGAGACTAATGGGGCTGAGTGGTGAGGAACAAAAAGGATGCTAAAGCAGAACAATAGCAGAGTCCACCAAGAGATGCTTATGCAGCAGGAGGCAGATTCCAGCGTCCTTACGGTTGATGATGAACTAGAGGGATGACAGTATGCCTGGGCCAGCAATGGTGTGCTATGAATTCTGGTGTGGAAAACCTATACTAGCAACTCTATGGGGACAGATTATAACAAAAGAAATGCCCAAGCTTATACTTAGCCTGTCTTTGAAACCAAAATGTTATTGAATGTCAGCCCTGTTTGGTGATCAATAAAGATCTTTGGAGAATAGGACCAAGAATGTAAACTGGTGCGGCCATTGTGAAAACCAGCGTGGACGTTCCTCAAAACATTAAATATACAACCATCATGGGATCCATCTATAGCAGTACGAAATGACTCCAGGTCATACCATACCTCAAAGATACCTTCACATTCATGTTTGCTGAGGCACTAGTCACTATAATCAAGCTATCAAACCAACCTAGATGTTAACTAAGGGACCAAGAAGTACATTAAAAATGTGGTATACTCATCACAGAAGCCTCTTTTTGTAATAGATGGCAATTAACATAGAGAACCATAACTGGTCATGGCTCATGGAATAAGAGACCATGAAATGCTCTGTCCTACATGAGACATCTGTACCATACCACTCCTCAGAGATTATTGCAGAAGATGACCAAAAAGGCTGTAAGAGCCCAAAGTGGTGGATGACTATAAGAGACTATAAGAAAACAATGTTTTTTAGACACAACAGATGAGCTGCACATATGAATCAACAGCAATTGAGACAGCATGTACTGTCTCAGTACATGTCACAGCAAAAAAAAAAAAAAAAAAAGAAAGAAAAAAAAAAAAAAAAAAAGAAAGAAAGAAAGAAAGAAAACAACCATTCCAAAACAGAGTCCTTTCTGAATAGTACCACCTACTGGGGACCAAGTGTTCAAACCATAAGCCCATGGGGTACATTTCTCACTCAAGCCACATCTAGGTTCACCCTAAGTCAACAGGAAAGAATACCTTTGATTTAGAGAAAATAAGATGTGTGAAGGCTGGAGAGATGGCTCAATAGTTAAGTGCACTTTCTTCACAACCATGAGGACCTGAGTTTTGATCCCAGTATCATATAAAAATCTGGGATGGTCGAAGGCATTCCTGTAACTCTAACACTGTGGGATTTACACAGGAAAATCATTGAGGCTTGATGTTTGTCAGCCTAGTCAAAAATTTGAGCTCCTGGCTCGGGGAAAGATCTTGCCTCAAAGGAATAAAGTGGAGAGGAGTACAAGAGGACACTTGATGCACACAAGCACACACACCATGATCACTCGCACATAAACTCTTATTTTTAAAATAGAAAATCACTTACACTGATGCACTATGAATGACCCTGGTCCAGGAGCACAAACACAGTTATGTAGATACTGAGCCATGTGCTTTCATGGAAGAAGTGGCATGAGTTCTATAGCCACAGAAGAGAGAAGCTCATAAATCAATGTGTTTATTGAACATACTGACAGCAGCATAAGGAAAGTGTGATTCAGCAGAGCAAGGCCTTTCTCCTGTAGATGGAGTTGTTACAGCATTCTTGCCTTCAGAATTGATGCAGACTGAAGACCAGCTAAGCACAGCCAATAGTTCTAAAAATTACAGCTCACAGCCACAGAAACATTAGGTCAGATACAGAAGTCGAGAGTAATGTCTTTCAAAGGCACTAAGGTGGCCAGAGATAACTTTGGCTCACAGCCCACCATGTTCCATCATGAAATCACCACATTCTAGTCAGCCAAGGTCAACAACAATTTTCAGGTGCCTAATACAGATATAGCTTCTTCAAAGAGCTTCAGTCCACAAGCCAATGTCATTAGGTGAGTGACTAAGATTAATCCCATGCAAGGGAGCTCCAAGAAAATGCAAGTTGCAGAGCCATTCTAACCAAGGTTAGGACACTGGAGGAGGCCAGGGCACTGCAGTGAGAGGGGCCTGACCTCTACAGCTCTGGCAAGAGCCTTTGAAAGCAAGAGCATCCCCACTGAAACTCAAGCAAGATTCATGCCCACAGCAGCAAGAAGGGCAGGTGGCAGGGCATGATGTACAAAGGTGAAATCCCCTGGGCAACATTATTAGTGTGCAATTTCTACTACATTCCAGTTGCTCTGGTTCTCCTTCTAAAATATTCTTATTTTATAAACCCCAATTGAGACATTTTAAACAAGCATAAAACATCTGGCATGACTAGACATCATGAACTCTCCTACCAGAGACCAAAGCAATTTGGGACAGAGGACCCTTCAACCTGGTCACCTCAGGAAAACACCCTTCAGAAGGTTTTTTGTTTTGTTTTGGGGTTTTTTGTTTATTTTTGTTGTTGTTTTGTTTTGCTGTATTTCCTGCTTCAATATTTCTAAGCAAGTCAGCAATTCTCCAGTAGACTTGATGCTCTAAAGGAACTTGCTAGCACATTCAAGCCCTTTGTCTCACTCTGCATAGCTCTCAGCAGCAGCAACTGATAAATCAGCTTTGATCTAACACAGAATTCTGAGCAGACTGTCACTTAAAAGAGGCACTCCAGCCAGACCACACCTTTTCCCATGCTCAGCTCTGGCTCTGTGCATGATGGTGCTGAAAAGCTCCGCCACTGTGAGAGGACCTAAGGTCTTGAATACCTGATCTCAAGAACTGCTTGGAAGCATGTGTCAGACAAAGGACACAGACTGGTTCAGCAACATCCCCAGCTGAAGGAGTAAATCAACCAACTGTCAGACTCTCAAGATCATGTGTCAGCAACATGACACATGAAAGGACAAAGGGAGGCAAATTGGTGATGTGTACCAGTTTAGGTTAGAAGTTGACCCAGCATGAGGTTCCTCAGTCAAACTTCTTTAAAAAGTAAATGGCTGTGGTAATATTGTGTTCCCCAATATATTGTGCACCCTAATAAACTTATCTGGGGTCAGAGAACAGAACAGCCACTAGATAGACATAGAAGCCAGAAGATGGTGGCACACACACACCTTTAATCCTATCACTTGGAGGCAGAGATCCATCTGGATCTCTGTGAGTTCAAAGCCACGCTGGAAACAGCCAACATGGAGACACACACCTTTAATCACAAGAAGTGATGGCAGGAAGCAGAAAAGTATAAGCAGAAAAGCAGAAAAGGACCAGGAACTAGAGGCTTTTTAAGCTTTTAGCTTTTAGCAGCAGCTCAGCTGAGATCCATTCGGATGAGGATTCAGAGGCTTTCATTCTGAGGAAACAAGATCAGCTGAGGAATTGGCAAGGTGAGGCTGGATGTGACTTGTTCTGTTTCTCTGATGTTTCAGCACTGACCCCAATACCTGGCTCCGGGTTTGTTTTTATTAATAATAACTTTTAAGATTCGTGCTATAAATGGCTAAAATAAAACTTAGGTCTGGAGACAGAGCTCAGAAATAAAAGGTATGGTTAGCATGGGTGAGACTATACGTTCAATCCCCAGCGCTGCCAAATAAATAAACTGATTTTAATAATTTATTTTCAAAGTGGTCTCACTTCATTTTTACAAATAACTTGTAGAAAAAAATCTGAATTTAAAACAATTGACTGTCTGAAATATCTCTCCCCAGAAGCGATTTTTAACCCTGTGCATCCATAGAAACTAGTCTTGTTAGTGGTGATTTGACTGCAGTGAACAGACTTGTGACGCAGGAGGGATTTCCTCAGAGGGGCACAGGCAGTCGTTGGCAACAAGAGGCAGGAGATGCTGCTGAACTCTGGGGTGATGGTGCATCTCACAAGGGTGTTTTTATTTTCTGTCTCTCTTCTTCTCTCTCATTCTGGTCTCCCCAGTGCTATGAGGCCTTTGCTATCCACCTGCTCCTGTTCTTATGCCTCTTGTTGACTCATGGTGCAGCGTGGCTTTTCTCCTTGGACTCTTGCACCCCTAGTCACCCATGCTCACCACTCTCTGCATTCTTGGACTCTGATTGTATCCTCAGATGAAGGAATCTATCCATCTGTGTTCTGTTTAGCTTTCCACATTTTGTCTGCTCAGTATGGCAGGGCTAAGATAGAGTCTCCGACACAATATTCAACATCGCTTGAGATGGTGCAGGAGGTTAGGACCAACTGGCATGTCCATCATGGGAGGAAATAGGCAGGAGTCCTGGCAATCTGAGAACTACAGAAGGGTGGGATCATCTCTGCTGATGACAACTACCACCAGAACAAGGGAATAGCAGGGACCTGTGTAGACACCACAACATCTGAAATTTGGGGAATAAAGGATCAGTGTATGTATATAGATAGATAGATAGATATAGATATAGATATAGATATAGATAATGCTTCTTTACACTGTAATAACCTAAAAATGAAATTTAAAAATTAATTATATTTGTTATAGATGAAAATAGGATACTTAATGCTAGGTTTAAGTACAATAAGGTAAAATATACAAAAGTCTAACTAAAATAAATGACAGAAGACTTGAGCAAATGAACAGATATCCCATGTACATGGATTGGAGAACTCATAGTTGCGATGGTCACACTACCCAACAAAATCTACACATACATTAATTTGTGTACTTTATAGATGTACTTTGTACTTGACTAACAAGGACAAAAAGGAAAAAGACACCGAAACTTAACAGTTTCCACTTCTATTTGAGGAGAAAAACAAAAATAAACCATAAATCCTTACCTTGATCTGTAAGTGACACACTGGGCTCTTAGCAACTGTTTCAGGCTCACCTTCCATCCCCCTTTAAATATCAAACTTCCAGGTAAGGACTTTAATAACAGAACAAGATGTAATCAGGCATTTAGTATTTACGTAACTGAAGACTGTAGTGCAAAAGGGGTGAAGATTAGACTTCCTTTTGTCCCTACAGGATGGTCCTAAAGCTAAAGGCAGGCACTTAACAGGCTTCGGTTCAGACGTAACCAGATCTTACACCTGACACCTGCCTGTCATGGGAGTCCAGCACAGACGCTTGGGCCTCCTTCTGGAAACGTCAGAGGAACACATTCTGTTGACTATGCCAACAGTGTGCCTTTCCTTTTATGGCAGCTTGATGTCATATCCTTCTGCCTCAGTACCCTCAGTAGAATCAGGCACACATATTCCAGCCTCTGGGGGTTCTGTACAAATTCCTGTGACTCTGGAGAGACAAACTCAAGGATACAAACAAGGAATGACAACGTGCAGGCAGTCACGGAGTCTGCAAAGCGGCAGGCAGCTGGAGAGACCCTGATGCCTCGGGGGAGGTGTACAAAGAACACAGTCCTGCAACACTGCCTTCATCCAGGAGAAAAAGACAAGCACCTGGCCCCAGAGACCTCAGCTACATAGTCAGCCCCTTGGAGGTCGCTCAGGCTGGAAAGATCCCCTCTCCCAAAGGCATTATCCTTTTCAGGAGAAGCACACACACACAAAAAAAAGTCTTAATACCAAGGCATGATAACCTGTGTCTCTTGCCTCTTTAAAACAACTCTGAAGGGTCATCCAAGCATCAGAAGTCCATAGTGGGATGGAGTCTCAGAAAGTTGATATCAGAGGCCACTTTCCCCTCTCTGTCCCATCTCTGAGGTGATCTCAGGAACTTCATATTTCATATGGGGTTTTGCCCTCTCTTCCCATCTCAGGATCCATCTTGCTAAAAGCCCAACCAGCGTATCTTCTCTTTCCCTGTAGGAAACAATTCTTCCTGCCATCTAAAGAGCTGAGTTACAGTTCCCCTGGCTGCTACATGTCTTTCTGGGAGACATGGTTCTTTGCCTTTGCATCTGCTCACTCTTCGTTAACCAAAACCCACCATAGCCATGTTAGCAGGGGCTCAGCAATGTTTGTTGAACTCCTGACCTTTACACAGGCAGGCTTACCGGCCATAGGGAGACAAGGTGAGTACCAAGACACCCATATAAGGACAATGAACCACTACCTTGAGCAAAAATCATAACCCCTCTGGGCCTCTGTTATCTCTACTATGAGAATGATGAAATAGACCAATTGTACCTAAAGCTGAACTAAGCATGTCAAGTAGCAACCGCTTTAACCTTCACAGGATTGGTACATCATGTCCTACTACTGAAGCTGCCCACTCCATTTGGTCATTGTATCTTAACTATCTAGTAACTGGGATACTTTCAGGATCAATGAGTCTTCTGAGAAAATTGTGAGGGGACAGGGAAGACTAGTGTGTGAGTTCACGTATCTTCCCAGCCTTTCCCTGGAGAGGAAAGGGTTAAGGATGGAAGAATGTTTCCTTTCAGCACCCCCAGCCCTAAGTACCTCTTTCCTTAGCAACAAAACATAGAAACTTGGTACATGCCTTTATGTTTTGTCCCAATTAGAGGCAATCTAGCACCTTGCTGGGGTTAAATGCTAATGGAGGCAGTCACCAGGACAGGCAGACCCAGGAGCTGTGAATTGTTGCTCGTTTTCTTCATCTATCTCCCAGGGAGACAATGGCAGAATCCAGTTGCTTATCTGTTTGTTTACTCCAGCAGCTACTGCCTGGTCTGGTTGCTATGGGGCCACAAGGCCCTTGGCACTGTCTTTCTGTCTTGTTGGGCAGACAGAGGGAGGTTCATTGAGACCTGAACAAATGACGTAAGTGATCAACCCTCGGTTCTCTTACCTGAAGAATTAGGGACATCAAACCTCCTCACACTAAAGGATTGGGAGGAGTAAATTACAGAAGGTAAGAAGCACTCAGGATGGCCTTCCCAAAAACCAGCCACAGGCATATTTGTCTCCACTCTCTGAACTTGGACTCACAGGTCTGGGATTGCTTACAGGGACTCTGGTAACTTCCTTCTCCTACAATCACCTTCTGCTGATACTACAATCCCTCCAGGTGTTTATGATGCAGAATCATAGTTTTTCCAACATTTGGATTGCAGGCCTGCTTCTCTTCTTCCTGGCTACCTGGCTGTAAACACATTATTGTTGTTGAGCCTCTTGTTTGCTCAATTGGCCGTGGGTCTCCAAAACCCATCTCTGAGGATGGGTGTGAGAGTCAGAATAACTCACACATGAGACGAGTGGTCTTGGCCTCCAACACGGGTTCTCTACTTGAAAAGCCACAGCTAGGAATGCAGGTGTGATTTAATGATACTAATTAGTAAGTTGACCTGGCCAGGAGAGTCAGGGGTGCCTAAACCAACTCAGAACATTGTGGGTTAGCAGTGGCTGGCCAGAGAAGACTCCAGGTGACTAGACTGAGGGGTTACATGATGGTGGATTGAGAATGATGTGCTTAGAAATGCTGGCGAGCATCCCTGGGTGTTCTGCTCTAACCCATTAATACATCCTACAGGCTGATATCATCTTCCCTAAATATACAAGCTTGACCCATGCCACTGAATGGACTTGTATGATGTCCCCTACCATGCTCACCCCAAAAAGACTCCTATTCATCTCTCAAAACCCAGCTCCACTGCCAAGTTTTCCAGGAGGGTCATTTCAGCACCATCCCACCTGTGACCAGGGCTGTGAGGACAAGTAACACTGAGGGTAGCACTCCCTAGCTCTGAAAGAAGTGCTGTTTTATGTGGGGGCATGCCAAATGTCATAGACTAAAATGTAGAGCAGTTATTAGGGAAAGACTACTTGTCATCACAAGTACCACAGATTGTCTGCTTTGGGTCATCTCTCCCTCATCAGGAAGAGAACAGCTGGGCAGACAGTCCAACGGAGGGAGACAGGGCACCTGCTGGAGCATGGGGAACTATAAATTCAGAACCACTAATCAGAGGTAACCAGGGCTTAGGCCTGTGAAAGCAGCGACCGAATCAGGAAGAAGCCCAGACAGAATAAAGCTGCTTGTTATTCAGTCTCTGCCCTTTTCTTTCTAGAGAGACGTGCACACGGGTGTCTCTAGAGATGGGTCCCCTGAGCCCCATCCTGCTTATTGGCAGCTACATGGACAAACCTTTCCAAGGGATTGGTAGGACACAGCAAAGGTCAACGAAAGCAGCAGGACTGTGCATGAGGCTCAGGAGTGAACTGGAGTGACCCCTTGATGTACAGGCCCTCCCTCAGTCTCTTTCCAGACCCTGGACCACACACCGTGTGTGCACTTTAGTTCCATGGCTGCAGTGGGTGGAGGGTGGAGGACTAAGGAGCAGAAAGCCACCCAGGAGACCTCAAGGACCTCAGAACAGACCCTTCCTGAAGCACTGAGACCTCCCACTGGTGCTGATCCTCCTTCCTGAGGTAAGGGTCCCCGAGTAATGCACCCCCAATTCAAGGAGCAATGCAGTGGCAGCTGCACACAGAAGACAGGATGGGATCTTCCTAATAGTAGGGCTGGATGAGTATCACCTATATATCTACTAAAAAGGAAAAGAGGGTGTAGGATTCTACCTGAGGTCAGGCACAGTGTGGCAGGCAGGATGCGACCCAGCACCAGGAGGGTGGTTACCAACCTCTGACATCTCCAAGGACAAGCACCACATGCTGTCTCCCTCCATGATACAGTCTCCTCATCCATCTGTCCTTAGTGATCCTTGCTGCAGCAGGGACCCCTCTGTAGCAAAGATCTGTTAGCAATGACCTTTCTGTGCCCTGTGCTAAGTGGCTAAAGAGTTGCTTGGGGATCTAGTAGTCTTTCACAGAAGACTCCCTTTGGATAACTGATTTTTCTGAAGCTCCAATCTAAAAACTTCCCTTTCTGTGGCCCAGTAAGTTTCCCTTGTCTATTCTCCTCAGCACCACCCTTTATCCACTCATCTTCATTAGCTACCACGTCTCTTAGAACGTGGTAACCGAATTTATCAACTATGAATTTTGTGCCCAGGATGTAGATCAGAACTCTGTGGTAAAGTGAGCCCATCCCATTATGCAGATGGGAAAGGAGGCTCCATGGGTTGAGTGAGGTTAGTTAGATAGCAGATATTGAGTCTGGAATTCAAACTCTCAGTATTTGGGCTTTAGCATCTTTATTTGTCTGTTTACTTAGTTTTGCCATAGCAGGTGGTCTGTGGGTGGATTGAAGGGTTTCTGGGGTTTTGAAACATGCTGGCCTGTTGGACCACCAAGGAAGCTGAACTACTACAGCTCTGCTTCCTTGGTTGTCGATGTCCTCCTCAGAGGGGTTCCTAGGGCCACCCTGGGTGATGAGGAGGGCAGTAACTGTATTTCCCAGGGGAGAAGACTAAGGGGCAGCAGGAATCGCTGGCCTCGGGACCTGCAGTTATGCCAGGACTGTGCTGTCCTGTTTCTCTTGCATTTAGTTTGGGGGCATATCTTTCTCATCTTGAGAAAAAGCACAAAATATTACCTTTGTTGAGCATTCAAGGGAAATGAAGAATGACCCCAGAGCTCAGAGGCAGAGCAGTTGATGCACAGTTTCATGTAGAACTGAATCTGACATCTTTCTGGAGGGCCAATGAATAGAAGCCTGTAACACACTGTACCCCAGCCTTCTAATTCTCAGAATTTATTCTAAGAAAGGAAAGAGTTGAACATTAATATGTATGTCCAAGAATGGTATATCATTGTTTTATTTATAATTATAAAAGTTTAGAATTTGGTACTATGTCTAATGATTAGTGAAAGGTATCTCATGTAATAACATACTAAACTGTCATAAAAAACTGTTTGAAAGAAATGCTTTGTTCCATGGGAATGTATTTAGTATAAGATATCAAGCTATGTCTCAAGGTTGGATAACAATGTATTTTAAAAAATTCCATTCAGCTAAGTTGTCTAAGTCTATATGTAGTTCTAAGAAAATGCCTCAGGAAAAAAATCAACATAGAAAAATCAGTTGTATTTATCTCTATCTACAATAGATAACATGAAAAGGAAATTTAGAAAACAGTACCGTTTATTAACATTCCAAAAGAATAAAATACTTAGAAATAAACATAACCAAGGAGGTGAAAAAAAGGTGTATTGAAAACTGTAAAGTGTCAATAAAAGATTTTGAAACAGAGATGTGGAGATGTCTAGTCAGTAAAGTACTTGTTGCATAAGCATGAAGACCTGAGTTCTCTGCCCTGCGCCCATGTATAAAAGTCAGACATGGTGGCAGGTGTTTATAATCCCGGGGTAAGGAGGCAACAGACAAGAGGATTCCTGAGACTTGTCCAGCCACCTAGTAATCACAAACCAATGAGAGACCCTGTCTCACAAAGCAAGGTAGATATGGAGAGATGGCTCAGTGGTTAAGAGCACTTACTGTTTTTGCCGAAGACCCATAGTTGACTCCCAGAACCAACATAGTTCCGGGGATCCAGTGCCTTCTTCTCACCCTCATAGATATCAAATGCACACATGGTACACATGCATACATGCAAGGAAAATATTAACACATGAAATAAAATGAATAAATCTAATTTAAAAAATTAAAGATAAGCCGGGAAGGGGTGGTGCATGCCTTTAATCCCAGCACTCAGGAGGCAGAGCCAGGCAGATCTCTGTAAGTTCGAGGCCAACCTGGTCTACAGAGCGAGATCTAGGACAGGCACCAAAACTACATGGAGAAACCCTGTCTCAAAAAATTAAATACATAAATAAATCACTCATGAACACGGATTTGCAAATATTTTCTTCCAATTAATTAGTGGGTTACTTTTCACAGTCTTGATATTGTTTTTTTGGTGCCCAGAAAGTCTTTTTTTATTTGGGTGTAGATTAGCTAATTCATTTTTAATTTTATTGCCTGTATTTTTGCTTTTATGTACATAAATTGTAGCTACATTCAATGAGTCTCCTACGTTTTCATATAGTTTTAGCTCTTACATTTAGGTGTTTGGTCCATTTTGAATTAACTTTGTATATGGTGTCATGTAAGGGCTGAATTCTATCCTTTTGCATTTGAACATACAGGTTTTCTAATACCATTGTTGAGAAGTCTGTCTCTAATCGCATCAAATGGTCTTGGCACCTTTGTTGAAGATCACTGAACCATCCATACATGTAGGGGTTTCAACCTGAAGTCTTAATTCTATTCATCTTTATGTTTGTCCTCACACTATCCCCACACTATTTTGATTACTATAACTTTATGGTAAGTTTTGAAGTCAGAAATATTTTTAACTTTGTCTCCCTTTGTCAAAATTCTTCTGGTTACTTGGAACCCACTGAAATTAATATGAAATTTTGAATGGAATTTTGTAACTTCTACAAGAAAAATGTCATTGCCATACTTATAGACACTGAAGTAAATCTACTTACATTGGGTGATATTGGTATTGATATCTTAATATTAAGACCCATTTGTGAATAGAAGGTGTTCTTCTGATCCAAGAATGGAGAGTTTTCCATTATATGTTCTTAATTTCTTTTTTTTGTATATGTATATCTTAGTGTATGTTGGTGTGTAGAGTAAGCACATATGTATGAGTGCATATGGAGGTCTGAGGACAATCTTCACAGTTACACCTCAGGTATCTGTGTACATGGGGGGCAGGGTATTCAGAATATGTGAACTAATATAGCCAAGCAGCAGAAACAAAGAATGGGGGCATTTCTCCAAAGATCTACTAAGGCAATAAAGAGTTTCCAACTCTATAGGTGAGAGTGGGAGTGAGTCTCAGCTCTGGGCAGACCTGCGACCCTCTTCTTTCCTATGGCATGTTTTCTAATATACAAACTCAGAAGTAGATGGCTTGATATCCAGGGGACCCTGAGCACATCTCTGGATGTGCTTTTTCTGTCTG